TATAAGGGCTGGGCTTAACCCATCCACCGGTGTTCGTGCGACTCACTGGGGTGGGGTGGCTTGGGGATGTCGGTGCCTCATCCCAGATGGGGTGCAAAGGTCCCGTGGGCTCAGACACCGCATGGGGTGGGGGCCTTCTCATCCCGCCTGCGCCACGGGACGATGTGAGCCTCGTTCCCTTGGAAAACCAGGCTGAGGAGAAAAAAGCTGCTGTCTCAGAAGGAAGAAAAAATGATTTAATGAGTGGGGGTTTTACTGAACACCCAAGACTCCAAATGTTAAAAGTTTTGTAGGAGTTTAACTCCTCTTACAAGGCCTGTGCTCTGGGTCCTTGGCTATATATATGTTTAGGTGCTTAAATTTCACCTGCTCGTGGAGGAGGGTCATGGAGCATCCCAGTGCCCCGGGGTGAGCAATGAGGGAGCCAGAATGATTTTCTGGCGAAGGAGAGGGAGCTCCGGAGGTGCTCGGCTCAGGGCAGGGTGCAGGGTGGGTGCTTCTGGGCTGGATCCAAGCAGGCAGCGGCAGTGCCAGCTGGTGGGCAGGAGTGGGGGAGTCTCTCCAGGTTTCTTGCTCTTGCAGATGCTGATCAGAAACTTGAGCCTGTGGTGGGACTTTCTGAAACAGCCACCTGGGCAGGAAATGTGAAAATACCTGGGTTTAAAAATATGTTGGGGGAAAAAAACCCAAACAAACAAGCCCAAAACCTCAAAACAAACTCACCCCAAAACCCCAACTCCAACACTGGGAACATGAAGATAAAAGGGAGGAGTTTCAAATCCCCTCAGTCGGATGAGTTTGGAGAGCAGCAAACAGTGCTGTGCTTTCCACCATCCCTCCTTTGCGTCCCATCCAAGGATCACACTCGCTGTGGGCTGTTTTCCTTCCTGTGCAGGGAAAGAGGGATCAGGAGCATCACACGGCAGCTCCTTTTTTCCCCCCACAATAACAAGCCAAAAAAAGTGCTGTTAAGTTGCCTTGTTCCCATGGGAGACTTTATCCAGTGGCATGAGCAAACCCCAAGGCTGGGACAATGGTCCCCATCCAGCTGGGCTGTGGAGGACCCAGGAGTCAGGATTTGGGAGCAGCAGGAGGAATGTGGTCTGGTGGTTGAAAAAAGGTGATTTGTATCAAAACACCTGGGTTTTATTTGTGGCCCAGGGAGGGGAGGGTGGTTTGAATGCCGCCGCTCCCGTGCAGGCAGCACCGGCTTGTGCACAGCTCGGGGCAGGGATGAGCAGCGCCGGGGTTTTCTCCTCATCCCTACAAACATCTCATCCCCTTTTTTCGGACGCCGCAAGAGCTTTTGGCCGTGAGAGCATCCTGTGAAGAAGTCCCACAACCGAATTGTGTTAAAATATATTTCCTTTCACTTGGTTTAAATTTACTGCCTGTTGTTCTCCAGTGTTTATTGTTGCTTCTGGAGAGTTCCTCTCTGGTTTGGACAGTAAATCCACTGTCATTTCAGAGGGTTTCTCTGTCCAAGAGCTGCAGCACAAGGAAAGAATTAGCATCTTGCCCTGGGTCTGGATGTGGAGCTGTTGCTACTTCACGCTGCTGCTGAAGGTTTTGAAGATGGTGAAGGTGAATATTTTTCAGCCAGTTGAAGGAAACGGCAACTCTGAAGGGAAAAGCCGCAAAGCGAACTTGGCAAAAAGTTCCTCCTTTGCCACATTTTCTCCGCACGCGCAAAAGCCTCGCCTTGGCCCCTGGCCCCGGGACCATGGACTCTCCCCTGTGGGGGCTCCCAGTGGTGGATGAAACAAAAATCTTCATTTTCCTTTTGGTTCTTCCTGTATCGCCAGCTTTTGAGGGATGCTTTTGGTGCCTGCATCCCCTGCTCGCCGGTGCCAGCTCCAGCAGCGATGCTCTGGGACTGGTGAAGCTCTGGGACCAAGGATGCTCTGGGACCGATGATGCTCTGGGACTGGCCTTTTTGGAGCTGCCCGCGGAGGGATGGGGTGTAGCAGCCAAAGGGTGTCCCCCCAGCACCAGCTCAGCATCCTCCACGACACCGGTGCTGCTCGCAGCTGGATGGTCCCTCCCGTTTGCTTCTGGGAGGGGAAACACACACCAGTTTTGAGAAGTAATGATTCAAGCAGCAAGTAACACTCTTGTATGCTTCGTCCTTGCAAAGAGTCTTCCTGGGGGGATTTACATGGGAAAAAAAAAAAAGGATTTTTGCTGCCGTTATCTCTCTCTCTGGTCCCCTTCCTGGGCTCCCCATTGCTCGTCTTCCCTGGAGGACAAATTGTGGATGTCAGGAGGGGAAAAGTCTCCCCATTCCCCTCTTGGCTGCTCGAACCAAAAAAAAAAAAAAAAAAGCAGAGAAAAAAAGATTAAGTGACTCACACGACTCAATGAACCCCGAAAAACAAGTGTGGGAGTGAGACCGTCAGGGCTTGTTTGTTGTTGCAGCGTCGTCTGATGAGGAGGCGAAGAATGGGGCTGAGGTCCCTGCGGGGGGCTTCAGCGAGGTCTGGGGGGGCTCCGTGCTCTAGGGCAGGAGAGGAGCAGGAGGAGCTCGGTTGGTGCTGGCTGCAGATGCTGCGGGTGAATTTGGGATGATGGGAGGGGAGAAAAAAGAGCGCTTTTTTGGTGCTTTTTGTTAACAAGACCGAGGGCTGGGGGCTGCCAAGTGGAGGCAGATAGGAAGCTATTTTGGGACTGGCTTTTCCCTCTGCCCAGGTCTTGGCACGGGGCACCCTCGCCTTAAATGCGGCGTTATCGCTGCTCTCATCCGGCCACTCGGAGAGAGAACCAGGAGAAAACCAGACCTGTGGAAAAATTAACCAGCTGGATTTCCCCCCTTGATCCCCCTCGCTGCAGTGCAGAGCACGCTGGAAAAATGGGGTGGAATGGGGCGGGGGGGGAGCTGTGCTGAAAGGTGCCCCAGGACAGCCCCCAGCGTCGAGGGATGTGGGTTCCCAGTCAAACCAGTCAAACCCCGGCCTGTCTCAGCTTTCTTCGGAGTCCTTCTTCCCCTCGCCCATAAGAATTAGGTTTCTGTGCCTGATTATAGGTTTTTTTAAGTAATCAAATAAAGACATTTTAAAATTCCAAATTGAAGATTAATGCAGAAATTGGAGACGGATTTAAATTGCCCAAGCTAATCACCAGCCACTCGACTGCTTATGACTTTATTAAGAGAAAAAAAAAAAAAAAAAAAAAAAAAA